TATTGAGATGGATATTGTTACTAATGGTCCTTTGGTTTCTTTGGAACAAGGCAATACTTTGATTCGGGACCTTTCTTATGAGAAAATTAAAGATGCACTTTTTGATATTGGAGATGACAAGTCTCCCGCCTCGGACAGTTACACTTTTTTTTTTTTTTTTTTAAAGAATGTTTGGGGGACTATTGGTGATGATTTTGTTGGGGCTATCATGGAGTTCTTCTCTTCGGGTTCCATCATCAAACAAATCAATCACACGGTCATTGCTTGGGTACCTAAATCGAATCACACCCCGCATGTTGGTGATTTTAGGCCCATCTCGTGTTGTAATGTTACTTACAAAGTGATTGCTAAAATCCTTGCTTCTAGATTGAGACCTATTTTGGGAGACATTGTTGATCATGCACAAGCCACTTTTGTGGAAGGTAGGAATATTACGGAGAACATTCATCTTGCCTAAGAACTCTTAAGGCAATACAATAAAAAAATGGTTGCTCCAAGATGCCTCCTAAAAATTGATCTTTCAAAGGCTCACGATTCGGTAAGTTAGGATTTCCTTAGAGATGTTCTTCATGGGTTGCAATTCCCCTCGAGATTTGTTCATTGGGTTATAGAATGTGTCACTTCTACATCATAATCTATAACTTTGAATAGGACTTTGCATGGTTTTTTCAAAGGTAGGAAGGGTCTTCGGCAAGGTGACCCCTTTCTTATTTGTGCTTTGTGTTGAATACCTCTCAAGATTGCTTAAAGCTATCATGGATGATAGTAATTTCAACTTTCACCCAAAATGTGGCCCCCAAAAGATCACCCATTTAGTTTTTGCGAATGATTTGATGCTATTTGCTAGGGGAGACGTTATGTCGGTAAAAATTCTCATGAATTGCCTTTCAACTTTTGGTTCGATTTCGAGATTAGGGTTGAACGTTCTTAAATCCATCTTGTTTATTGTTGGAATTCATGGACAACTTCTTGAGAATATCTTGGAATTAACAAATGTTCCGAGGGGGAGTATGCCATTTCGGTATTTAGGCATCCCCCTTACATCGAAAAAATTTAAAGTAAATTGTTACGCTCATTTTCTTGACAAAATAACAACATATATTGGTACATGAAATTGTTCTAAATTATCTTATGCAGGCAAGATTGAAGTTATAAAGGCAGTTCTTCAAAGAATGGAATGTTTTTGGCTCTCTATATTTCTTATTCCGGCGACAATTATATCAAGGATTGTTAGCCTTTGTTGAAAATTCCTTTGGGGATCTAAGAAGCCTTTGGTTGCATGGAAGGATCTTTGTCTTCCAAGAGATGAAGGGGGCCTCGGATTGATGAAATTGAAGAGCTGGAATTTAGCGCTACTTACTAAATCCCTTTGGAACATACAACATAAAAAGGACTCTCTATGGATTCGGTGGGTTCATCAAATCTATCTTAAAGGGACATGTATTTGTGAGGTTTCTCCGAGAAAAGATCACTCCCCATTGTTTAAAAAGTTGCTGGAAATCTAGAATTTACTGTGCCAAAGTATGATTGTTTCCCATAATCTCACAAATGGACAAAACATGCAATTTGTCCAGCTGAATGGTGAAAATTCTGTTATTTTACATGCTGGAATTCGTTCATTTCAAGCTGCTATGGAACCACACGGTTGTGACCAATCTCAAAGCTAGTCATCCGATGTCCTAAATGACCGAAAAAGGGCAGTGCTGGACAGATTATTCAGCTGGTCAGCAAGGGGGAAATTTAGTACCAAACTTGCATACGACTTCTTCAGGCCGAGGGGTACAAAGAAGGTATGGGCTGGCACTCTTTCTTGCTTTGGTTAGGAGTCCAATCAAAACTCCTAACTAAAGACAAATTGCATTTTTTGGATATTGATCGTAAGTGTGTTTTTTGCGGGCATATGGAGGAAACATTTTGTCACTTATTCTTTCAATGTTCTTTCACTTCGACATTATGGGGAAATATTCGACAGTGGCTTGGAATCAAAAGATCTATGTCTACACTTTCTTCCGCTCTTAAGTGGTTGAAAAAAGAGGCTCGATGAACTTCATGCTTAGCAAGGCTAAGCGAATTGCGCTTGTAAGTACCCTCTATCACATTTGGTTAACACGTAATAGAAATATTTTTGAAGAACTTTCACCGAATTTACATTGTATTGTGAGACGGATCAAGATACACGTATACAAAATTATGTTCACCTTGTATCCAGATGTCTTGATCCATTTCAAGTCTTTAGTGTTGGGTCTTTGATTTTCATTATGCTTGATCTACTTCTGTTCTACTCGGGTATGCCCGGTGTATTTGTCTATGATTTTGACTTTTGATTTGCTCGGGAATGCCAGGTATACTTGTACATGGAACATTTTTTATCAATGATATTTACATTCACCGATCCAAAAAAGATCCAAGACCTTATCCCCCACGAGCATGACGCAGTAGTAAAGCAGGAGAGTTTTATATAGAGCATTGGAGGTTCGAATCCCTGCGGCAGCTGGAATGTAACATTTATATTAGAAGCAGTTGTCCTGTAGAGGAAAGTTATAGTGCGTTTTGTTGCCCTTCCGGGGGTCCTATCCACATGTTGTAAATGGAGGTCTATAGGGAGGGGAACTACATCCCAAATATCCGATCCAAGTGTGTATAAGCTGTGACCACATCTGGATTTACCTGAATGGGCGAACCAGGGAAAAGACCGCCACTCCTCAAAATTAGTCAGGTGTGAATACCTAAATTATATATATATATATATATAAGTTCCAATAACTTAACCTCTGTTTCATGGGAATCATAGTTTTAGTAGATTTTGATAAAAATCAGTGAAATATATGTTTGAAAGGTTGTGGGTCCTATAAAATGTATGATTAAAATTAATTATTGACTTTGACTTGTATTAAAATCTTGATTTTAATTTCTATAAAATAGGCTTAGGCATCCGCATTTCTTTCCATGCCTTAATCTCTATAAAATAGGCTTAGGCAATCCCACAATATATAAATGCCCTTTTTAGGAACTGAGCTATCACAAGCAATACGCTTAGAATCAGGAAACCATAATCGTCGAATGTGTGCTTTCATGTGCCTATTTCCGCTTGAAATGTATATTGTTTAATTTTTTAAAAATCACCCATCCGACCTCGGTTCAACCTTTTGACAATTAATCCTTTCTCTTTTTTTAGTTGATGGTCGGGTCAGTTTTTAAAATATTGATTTCTTTTATATTGTATTTATTGATGACATACATAATAGCAAAAGTTATCTTTAATAATGCTCGAGGTTTTGGATGTGTTTTAATCAACATAATTAAACCTAGTACGCGGTGAATTTGTTATATACTAAATTTAGTTGTACAAAATAGATTAAACCAAATATTTGAACTAGAAAAAAAAATAATAACTGTTAATTTAGTTTCTTACTATCCAAAGAAATAATTAGCTAAATTATGTAAATCCTTAATATTAAAATATAGAAAATTGTTTATGTTAAAAAGCCGTAAATGAAATTCTACGCGTCTCGTGTTATGTTTGAGTGTGGATTATGATCATGTCATCATATATAAAGTTGACGATTTTCATACTTAACCAATAAAAAAAGTATTATAAAAATTACAATAAAGTCATGAGTACAGAAAAATTTTAACCGAAGTTATATCGAAAATGATGTGGCAAAACATAATTGAACTATTTTTTTTTTCATTTTTCCCATCTTCCAAAAATGTCGTGCTATGTATTGTTTGTAAGATTTGTCTGTCAAAACATTTTGTACATATAGTATTTTTTCTAAAATTTATAGTTACATATTGTCTTATTCCAACAAATATTCTCTTTCTATTGACCCATTGACTCAAACAACAAATATTCATCCTATGATTATCCATGGCAAGAACAATATCCACGAACCTATCCAAAAATTGAATCTGTCGACCATTTTCACCTTGATACCATCGAGCCTTTATCTCACACTCAAGCTCTCAAACATCCCATTTGGAAGAAAGCTATGTATGAGGAAAGATGTTCTTTGAAGAAATGACACTTGGCAGCTAGTCCCACCCATACAGTCCCAAAATTTAATTAGCTTTAAATGGATATTTCATATTAAAAGGAAATTTGATGGGTCTATTGGTCATTACAAGGTCAGATTAGTAGCAAACGATTTTCATTAGCATCCTAAAGTTGACTATAACGAAAACTTTCTACCCAATCATCACCTACCACTATCAGGCTAATCCTTAGCCATGTTTTAAGCTAATAACTAATTGATTCGTCAACTTGATGTCATCGATACCTTCTTATGTAACAGTCTTACGAATGATGTATACATGACTTAATCACTGATTTTATTTATCAAAATCAACTACACTATGGCTTTGTTTGTCTACCATTCTCCTACACTATTTTTTTCACAGTACTCATTTTCAACCATACATTCTTCATTAAAATAATATTACACGTAAATAAAAAAAATTCATTCTTTTTTAACCACACTTTAACATCAATCATTATTCCATATTACATTATTCACAAATGATGGGGCACAAACAAGCGCTATATTTGTCATCTTCGAGAAAGCAATACATGGTATTAAACAAGCACCAAGTGCCTAATACATACTTTGTCATCTTACTGATACTTCTTTGTTTATATATAACAAACATGAGTGTCGAAACTTTGTTCTTATCTATGTGGATGATATTTATCACATAAAGTTTAGAGATTGATCAATTTATTGGAGATCTCGATCGTCGCTGTTTCGATCTGGGTCTCTTATCCTTCTTTTAAACTGTTAAATTAGTTCCGTACTCAAAATCTAATTTTTATTTCAGCACCAGCATTTTCTTTAAAAAAGGTTGAACCCCAAC